GAACATAAAGCAACAAAATAGAAGGCTAACACCCAAGAGTGGCCGAGATTAGTACCAGGAGGTTTGCTCCATGGCTTGGAGGCCAGCCACACATGCTAGGGGAAAAGGGAGCTCAGATAGAGAAGGGAGCACCAAATAAAGGGTGTTGGGAGGATCCTCCCAGGATGGGAGAAACATGCTGAAAGTAAACTATAGACCAAACACGATTACCACTCAATGCCTCTTTTGCAAACCACAACACCCAAAAGGAGAGAGAGTGCCCTGCCACAGAGGCAGGGTGGGATGGGGGGGAAGGGGTGTGGAGGGATACTGGGACCCGTGGTGGTGGAAAATGGGTACTGGTGGAGGGATGGGTATTTGATCATTGTATAATTGAAATCCAAGCACAAAAATTTCTAACTCTACAACTGTACCTCATGGTGTTTCACTAATAAAAATTTTTTTTTAAAAAAAGGATATTAACAAACACGATATGTGTTTAGTATTAAAGTAAAAGATATTTGAATTCATAAACTAGAGCAGTAATAAAAGAAAAGAATATTAAGCTCAGGGAAAATACTTGAGCCTAAGTCTAGCTCTGATGCCTTGATAGTAAAAGTTAAGCAAACCACTGAACTTTCATTTCTTCAACTGTAAAAGAAGGATACTATCTCTTGTCTTTACAGAACAGAGCATCACATATGTAAAAAATTGTTAGTAAAAATTAATGGTGTGAACATGTGGAATGCTATTACTCTATCATTTCTTCTGCTGATTTAGAAAAATAGGTCAGGTTTATTTTTCATTTATAAGCTAATGACTTCTGTATAAAGTATTTATAACTTCTGTTTATATGTTTTCCCAAGAATGTTTATTTGTCTTTAACAGTAATTTCTTCAGTAGCCCAGAATTTTCTCCCTTTCCCTGTGTCACTGTGAACAAACACAAATTTTGAAAAATACAGAAAATAACTATTATGAAATAATTATTTTCTGCTTTTATGTATATGTATACATGTTTCTTAAAAATTTTGATAATTGATTGCTTTCTGTATCTTGAAGTAACACTCCTATTTAACGGAAATAACTTATATTTGGAATTTTTTTTATATTTATACGCACTTTTCTTTTTATTTCAAGTTGGCTTTATTTTGTGCCATGGAATCCTAAATACTGATGCAACAGCACTGAATCTTTGGAAGCTAGCCCTTCAAAGTAGCTCTTGCCTCTCTCTTTTCCGGGATGAAGTTTTCCATATTCACAAAGCTGCAGAAGACTTATTTGTGAACATACGAGGGTATGATGTTTCAGTTTCTTTTTCTTTTTATGTAAAAGGGAATGAGTGCTTTTTTTTAGGTTTTGGGAATGGAAAAGTGTCATATCTAGGAAAAAGTTATACCTATACCATCACACTAGTCTTGGCATGTTGTTTTTATTAATAGTTTTCATGTAGGTAGTTCTATTTTTTATATGCAGTGTTACAGATAAAAGTGTTCTAGTATTTCAGGATAAAGAAGTATCCAAGTATTAATGCAACTATTCTATATTAAATTAATAATAATTACAGGTGCCAGAGAAATTGTATAGTGGGTAGGGTGCTTGCCTTGCATGCAGCTCTGAACACTGCTGTGAGTGGCCCAAAAAACAAAAAATCAAATTAAAAAATAGATGTTAAGCTACTATAATAGGAAATGTTTCTGTTGAGTAAGAAATTATACTGAGTCACTCTCCGCACTAAAGCAAAAATTCTTCGAAATTTTCTTACTAAAAAATTTTCTAATGCCACCTTTCTTTCTTGTGGTTCTGTAGCCAGTATACAAAAGCCACATTGAGATCAGACTTGATAATAATTATAAAACTTTTTGAATTAGGACCATCTAAACTATTTTGGGATCCTATATATTCAATAATTATTAAATAATTATGTTGATTTGTTAGCTTTAGGTATTATTGAAACTTAACGTACATTTCTTTCACACTTAATTTTGTACTATCATGATGAAATCTAGGTAAAGTAAAATTTTAGCTCTAGTAATTTCAGCCAGTATGTCTCAAATTTTGGTGTGTATGAAAATTACTTTGGGATATGAATTACTGTACAGTGTCCTGGGCGTTGTTTTTTTTAGTGCCTATGTTAAAGTAATCTTCTCTTTCTCCCTTAGTAATTTGATAAGAAATTTTAAAGTAGAAAAATGCATAAAATTTGGCTATGCAGCTCAGTATTTACATACCTGATACTTGATCTAGATCAAGTTGTAGAACATTTTCATCTCCAGAATATTTTCTTCTACATTGGTCAGTAATAATTCCATGGTCCTTTTATCCATATCTCATTTCTCAAGTGACAAATCTTCTATTTTCAGTAGTTCTAATACTCTCATGCAGGTAATCTCTCAGTAATAATACCCTGTATACTTTTTATTTCTTATGCTGCTTTAATTTTACATGGGGCAGTGCATGGGAATATTTATGTCATATGACCTTTGTCATTTTCTAGTTAGTTGTTATGGAAAATCATGAAATTATGAAACTTATAGTTCCTAAGCATAATGACAACCTTCCTGTGGAATCATTTAAAATACGTAAGCATATAAAACCAAGTTGTGTGTATATAAAGTGAGCTTATGATGCAAGTTAAGCTTCACTGTAGCACTGTAGCACTGTCCTCCCATTGTTCATCGATTTGCTCGGGCGGGCACCAGTAATTTCTCACAACAAATTGTGAGACTTGTTGTTACTGTTTTTGGCTTATCAAATACATCATGGGTAGCTCGCCAGGCTTTACCATGCGGGTGAGATACTCTCGGTAGCTTGCCAGGCTCTCCGAGAGGGGCAGAAGAATGAACCTAGGTCAACCACATGCAAGGCAAACGCCCTACCCGCTGTGTTATTGCTCCAGCCCAAGCTTAACTGTACCCTGAAATAATTTTTTGTCATGATTTTAAGAATTTTGTATTTATTTTTTGTTTTTGGACCAGACTCAGTGGTGCTCAGGGTTTACTCTTGGCTCTGCATTCAGGAATTGCTCTTGGCTGTGCTGGGAGACCATAGGGAATGCTGGGGATTGAACCTGGTCAGTCGCCTACAAGGCATACATCATACCCACCTTATTATCTCTCTGGTCCCAATAGTTTTGTACTTAAAGTGAGAAGTTTTCATTTTTAAGTTGTGAGTGATGAACCCAATCTCAGTTTAGAACTATTACAGTAATTACAACAAAATCCTAAATATTACAGAATTAGTAGATATTGCACAATTACTCAAAGAATGCTCTAGAAGATGTTTACATATATGTGTGTATTCCATTTCAAGAATTTTCTGATTTTTTTAATGTTTATCAATTTTTAGTTTTATATCTAATATTAATGAAATAACTATTATCATTTATTTTTAAATGGTAGCTTAAAACTGATAGATATTGGTGTTCTGTTTCGTTAAATGCTTTGTTCAGTTTGAAAATCATGGTGCCTAAAAATCAATCACCCATAATTATGTCCTTAAAATAACTTTAAGTTGTCATCATTTCTTATTTCCATTCCCAGAATAACCATCCTTAAGTTGTTGCTAGTATTGATCATTATTACGTATTCTTTCAGAACTTCTCTGTGTTTAGAAGATAGCATAAGAAGTTAGAAGTCGTAATTTTGTTAGCACATTCAATTTTTATAAGTCACTATTACATTGGAAGTACAGTTTTAATATCTTAAGGAAGTATATGTTTAATTAAACCCTGTATTATGAAGGTTGGCTTTATTGTTGGCTTTATTCCTGTAACATAATATGAAGTTTGCTTTCCTAGCAAGACTTAAACGTGCTATGAGAGTATGTGGATAGCCTTTTTTATGCACTTCTGGTTTGGGGACCATTTTTTTTAAAATAAGCCATTTAAAATTGACTTTCAGCATTTGTTGTTTTTCAGATTATAATTAACATGGTTTTAATTTCTTTGCACATAGCTATAATAAGCGTATTAATGACATAAGAGAATGCAAGGAGGCAGCTGTGTCACATGCGTAAGTAGTGCTTTTATATGTGGTACTTTTTTTGTCAAGAATTTCTCAACGTGTGATTTGTTGAAATGGGTACAGATTATTCATCTTCAAGGTGAGGTAGTAGAAAAATGGAGGCTGTCTCATCAATGAGAAATAGGTATACATATTTAATATGTGGTAATCTTAGAATTAGTGTAGTCATATTTTAAATGTTCCTAACGTGTTGTTAAAAACACTTTAAAGAAGTATCTTGGGAAGAACTTTTTTTGGAGGACAGCCTTTTGGGCCACACCTGGCAGTTCTCAGGGGCTGCATTTTGGAAGGTGCTTTGTTGACCATGTGGTTCCAGAGGTTGTACTTTGGCTTCCTCATGCAAGCCTGGTGAGCCCCTATGAACTTTAATCTTGGGCATTTTTCATATCTCTTAGTACCCCTCTACTTATATATTATATATTAATACCTTACAGATTGTGATTGTTTTTGTACTACTTCATAAAAACTGACATTTTTATGCTGTGCATAATGTTAAGAAAATAGTGTTTACTTCTTAACGTATGTTTGCCCCATATTCCTACTTTTAAAAATTTAGCCAGCATATAAAGTAAAGGCTAGGGTAGCTAATGTCTTTGGTTATCCTTGTAATTTTCTCACAAAATAGTTCAAATTTGGGGGGCCAAAGAGATAGTACAGGGGTAGAGCTTTTGCCTTGTACACAGCCAACCTGGGTTTGATTCCCCAGCATTCCATATGGACCCCCAAGCCTGCCAGGACTGATTTCTAAGTGCAGAGCCAGAGGTAATCTCTGAGCACTGCCAGGTTTGCCCCAAAACCAAAAAGTAAAATTATAATTTTGTAGTTGATCTTAATTGTTATATACTTAGACATAGTCTAATGTGTGACATATATAAATATTACCTGTATATCTTACTTACACCTATTTTGTATGCTTTCTTAGAATATTTTCTCCATTGAGCCTAGATAATGTGAAGATAACATCTGACCTATCAATGTATATATATTTTTTGCCAAAAACACTCAAACTGCATTCTCTCCCTCACCTTCTTCCAAAGAAAGAGAAAAAATGATCATAATTGGTAAAAGGTAGTTGGAAAAGCATCACCTAGAACTGGCGTCATGCTCAGGAAAGGATGCTCTGACTTTTCCTCATGGTTTTGGTGTTGTGCACTATCAAAGAGACTTCTCTAATAATGGACTAAAGAAATGATCCCTAAAAGTATAGTCTTTTATCAGTGTTTTTATCAGACGAAGAGAAAACAAGCAGAGCCTGCCAGGCTAGGAGTGATCCCTGAGGGCAGAGTCAAGAATAACCTTGAACATTACCAGTTGTGGTCCAAATACAGAACAAAAATATGTCATTAAAATTGCAAAAATTGTTCAGAAGTAGACACCTGGGAATTTAGAAGTGCTTCCTGAATGTCTACTCCTCTTGAATGTTGGATAGGATTTTGGTAGATGAAGAGAACAGAATGAACAGATTGTTATAAAAGCCGTTCAAGAAAGGCAGTAGAAAATGGGGGCTGGAGAGATAGTCCAGTGGGTAGTGATTGCCTTGCATGCGGCTGACCCAAGTTCAATCCCTGGTACCCCATATGGTCCCCAGAGTGCCATTAGGATTAAGTGTGAGAGCCAGGAGTAACCCCTGAGCATTGCCAGGTGTGGCTCCCAACCCAATCTATGTCAGTATATGACAGAAATTTGTTTAAAGAGAGATATGAAAGGACTTTTGTAGGGCACTCTCATAAAAATCATTGGCTCTAAAATGCTGTTCTTTAATTGTAGTAATAATTTTAGTAGAAACAGTTGAATTATATTGTTGTCTTTCCCTGTAGTGGTTCAATGCACAGAGAAAGACGCAAATTTTTAAGGTCCGCACTGAAAGAATTGGCCACTGTCCTCTCTGATCAACCAGGTTTACTAGGTCCAAAGGTAAGTTAGAAAACCTTAGTATTATTTATTCTTAAAATTTCACTAAAACTTTTGTGAAAATACGTAAAAGTATCTTCGTACAAAAACGAATGTGCCAACTTGACACTCATACAGCATACCTCCCTCATTTTTTTATATGCCTCTTCTCCTTTGTATGTGCTTTCAGATTCTTTTCATTCCATCTTATCTCTTTTGAACTTGACTTTTTCAGTTCTTACCAATCATTTTTTATTTAGAAAAAGATTGTGATTATGTTTTCAGTTTTTGCATAGTAATAACCAAGGTATGTATGTATGTTTGTTTTTTAAATTAGGCACTTTTTGTTTTTATGGCATTATCCTTTGCCCGTGATGAAATTATTTGGCTACTTCGTCATGCAGATAATATGCCAAAGAAGAGCGCAGATGACTTTATTGATAAGTAAGTTAGTAGCATTGAAATTACGTGTTTTGATTTATGGACTGTTAAATATAAGGGCTTTGAAGTAAAATTACTTGAAAACTGTTTTAGAGTTTTACATATTTTTATAATAGAGAAATATTTATATTTTTAGTTTATATGCCAGACACAGTAACAACAAAGTCTCCAATGGAGACGTTACTGGGCCCGCTCGAGCAAATCGACGATCAACGGGAGGGCCTTTACCTTTTTAGTTTATATGGGTTTGTATGCAAAAGTTGACTGTGTAGCTTAAAATAAGGGCTTCTGTCTTGTTACCAAGGTGTAATAAAGTTCTTGTTTATTTCCTTGTAGATTTTTTTTTCTGTGAAATTTAGTCTTTAAAATTATTTACTACACAAATATTTAAATAATCCTTACATAGTGGTGTTGCAACTGAGCGTGTTGTTTGAAATGTCTTCCTCTCATTTTAGTTAATAGCTCCTCAGAGTGAGATAGACAAGTGAAATAATTATGAGCATACAGAATAATCTTAATTTCTTTCTAATCCTCAAATCCTCTTTCATTTATGAGCTATTTTAATTATATCTTCATTTTGGGTTTTTCTCTATCAACTTATAAAGTAATTGACGTTAAATACTTAGTAGTTCCTTTCCTATGAAAAATACTAGGTAAGTAATCAGGGCATTGAATATTTTTATAAAAAGAACTTATTGAAGTATTTTTCTTGAATTAAAGGCACATTGCTGAATTAATATTTTACATGGAAGAGCTTAGAGCACACGTAAGGAAATATGGACCCGTAATGCAGCGGTATTATGTGCAGTACCTTTCTGGCTTCGATGCTGTTGTCCTCAATGAACTTGTGCAGGTAAAAACTCTTATTTTGCCCTTTTATTCCTCCCACATCTTCTTTCTAGTTAGTAAGTGATTTGTTTGCTCGGTAAGTATTTATAAAATTAAATCTCTTACTATGTGGTGGAGATACAAGTGGACATAAATCATGGCCTTAAAGAAGTAAACCCAATATGATGGCTATTATGTAGTTTGGGGGTTTTTTGATAGCTGCTATTTTTAAGTGAGCACAGACAAGCAATGATTCATTGTTTTCAGGGTCGAAATGTACAGTAATGAAATCACACAGGTCTTTGCCAAAGAATAGGTTGACTTTTTAAAACAATTACCTTGGGGTGGGAGTATATATCTGTGTTTCTGTGTTGGCTTGCTAGGGACCAAGGGAAGAGGTGGGATACAGAAAAGGAAAAAAAAAATAACTGAATAGGCTAGGTAAGAATTGATGGGAGACCTGATTTGGACAGTAGCTGTTAGGTAGATGGAGACATAACAGTTGATAATTGTTAAAGGAAAATGTAGGAGATAGATTCTTTTGCACAGTGTTTTGGAGCAAAGGTTCCCAAACTGGGTCTTACCACCTGCTTAGGAAGATAAAAAAAAAATGACTCAGTGTCCTCCTGGAAATCTACCTTTTTTAAGTGAACAGAATATAACTCCCATTTGCATTTAAGGCTACTTTCTCCCATCCCCCAGGTCATTCCCGTGGCCCCCTATGCAGTGGTATTGCCAACTTTTATAAAACACTGGGGTTGAGAACAACTAGAACATTAAGATTTCATCTAGCTGCCCTAATTTAAGTGTCCCAATTTTACGTTCACTTTAGATTTTTTCTATTGATTTTTAGCTAGCTTTTTATTTTCATCTTCCATAACATATATTTTTTCCTCTTCAATGAAAATTTATTTGTATTTCAAATAAACTGAGGAAAAATGTATTTTATTTTGTTTAATTTTATAAAATCACAAATGTTTGGCCAGAGAGTTGTTCATTTGACTGGAGCATTTGCTGTGTGTGTAGTTCCTGCTTTAATCTGACACTGCAAACTTCGAAGCACGTCCAGGTAGTGGCTCTGCCACCAAAACAACATCATAGACACCAAAAAGCTCACACAGAGTATAAAGGGAGGAACAATACAAATTCGCTTTATATGATCACTTCTAAGATTGTCGTTTCCAGAGAAATAGTCATACTTTGAAATTTCATTTTCGTTTGCTCGAGCGGGCCCAGTAACGTCTCCATTGGAGACTTTGTTGTAACTGTGTCTGGCATATCGAATACTCTCGGTAGCTTGCCGGGCTCTCCGAGAGGGGTGGAGGAATCGAACTTGGGTTGGCCATGTTGGCTGCATGCAAGGCAGACGCCCTACCCGCTGTGCTAGCGGGCTGGAGCGATAGCACAGCGGTAGGGCATTTGCCTTGCACGCAGCCAACATGGCCGACCGGAGTTCGATTCCTCCGCCCCGCACGGCAGAGCCTGGCAAGCTCCCCGTGACGTATTCGATATGCCAGACACAGTAACAACAAAGTCTCCAATGGAGACGTTACTGGGCCCGCTCGAGTAAATCGATGATCAACGGGAGGGCCTTTACTTTTACTTACTTACTTATTTTCGTTTAGACCTACTTAAAAATGCAGTGTTTCTTACTGTTCATGTGATTGTTCCCTTAAAGTCAATGTGTTACTTCGTTTATCCACTAGATGGTGCTCAGATGCTTCTTTCTAGAATAGCTTCTTGAATAGGGCACGAAACCCTGAGTTATCCTTTTTTTTCTTTTTCTCTTTTTTCCCGATTTATCCTTTAAAAAATTAGAAAAAGCTTGTCTACAATTTGTTTGAATAGTTAATGTATACAGAGAACCCACCTACTGTTCTCATGTTCATAAATCAGAGGACCAGGGAGATAGTGCCTGGATTAAAGCACTTGGTTTACAAGTGATCTGTTTGATCTCTGGCACTACATGTGCTACCCTCGGAGGTAGTCCATGAGCAGAGAGCCAGGAGTAAGCTCTGAGCATCACCATATATGGTCCCATAGTACCTCATTCTGGGGGGTGGCGTGGGCGGAATAAACCATACATCCGATTTCATGTTATTTTAAGACTTGCTGTACCTTGTTAGATATTTCATTGAACAATTAAACAGCCCTGTGTTTTGTCGTTGTTGTTCTCAGTGTTGTTATTGAAAGGGGCACACTTGGTAGTGCTTGGGGACCACACAGTGCCAGGGATAGAATTCACAGCCTCACATTGCAGGGCATGCATGTACTTTGGTACTTGAGTCTCAGTCCTGGTTCACCAAGTAGTTTGTGTTTGGGAAAGATTTATTTTTATTTTTTGTTTGTTTTGTGGTGGCCACACCCAGTGGTGCTAAGGGCGTTCTCCTGAATTTGTGTTCAGGTATCACGCCTGGCAGACTTGGAGGGTAAGGGGGATCAAACTTGTGTGTACTGCGTGCAAGATAAGCACCCTACCCACTGTACTATCAGGCCTCCAGTTTCTTTTTTTATAAAGAGCTTTTTTTTTCTTATGTTATTTCCTTCCAATTTCAAAACAGTGGCCTTTGTTTTGTCCCATGGAGCATATTTTCAGAGATAATTATAAATGCAGTCACAAGTATTAAAAGTAGCCTAAGTTCCTAAGTTAAGGTTGCAGAATTTTATGCTGGGACATAAGGATGAATACTTGAACAGTCTCCATCCCAGATGTTAAATGAATATTTATTACAGGCTATTTTATTCCTTTAAGATTAAGTTTGGAAAATGACATGTTCTTATTTTAATAAAAGCAGTGACGCAATACAGAAGTAAACTTACCAAGTGAAAATAGAAGTGGAGTTACTTTGCCAAAGGGTAAACACGTGTAAAATTTTGAAAGTTATTGTCACAAAGTTTGAACTGTTAAAAATGTTTCCCTCTCTGCCTTTGTTGCTACTGTTTGGATGTCCGGGGGTTGCGCATTTGGTTGTGGTGCTCACACACATGGAGTTGCCTTTTGCTAGCGATGACACATTTGTTTTGGTGCTGATAATCCCAGTGGTAGTGCTCC